GTTGTTGTTGTTGTGATCATAAACTGTATGGATGTGATTACACGCTATACACGGAGCTTTTCCCTCACCAGTGTAACGTGCTGCTTTTGCAAGCTTCCGTGAAAACGTTTCAGCTTTTATTTTCCCTTTTCACCCTGAAGAAGATATCACAGGCTCATCAAGTTCGTCGAAATGATCCATCCTCGATCACTTTTAGTCAGCTTTGACAAAACTCCTCTCAGCTAGCACGTCTTTTCAAAGTGAAAGTAGCCTTGTCACCTGACCTGAATACAGCGTGCTGATTCGCTAAAAAGGACTTATCGGCTTCTGTTCAAAAACAGCAAGGGCGCTTGTCGGCTTCTGCAGTAAAACGTGAACTCGCGATGCCTTGAAAGTGGACAAAACCAGCTTTTTTTGACAAAACGTGTTTCGGGTTCAGATCATGCTATATGTGGAGAATAATGCACGGTAATCAGCTCTTTTTTTTTTTAAGTGGCGTTTATCGGTTTTTGCAAATGAACTCTTCATATATGTATATAGTATACTAAATGGATACTAAAATTAATGTAGTATAATAAACGAATACTAAATGTCAGTTGAACCAACAATCTTTGCTCTTCAGTGATATGATAATTGGCTGGAACCCATCAGGCATCTTTATCATTCACATCATCAATCTGTCTATTGCACTTAAACACTTATGATTTTATCAAGTGCTCTGATTAATCGGATTTAATTTCATGCTTTTCACACACACATGAGAATGTGCAACATAGCTCTACTCCGCATCTCTCCCTCTGATTGATCCAGGGCACTTTTAAGCACAAGGCAGAGAGTGACCTGCTGTTTGCAGAACATCATAAGATGCTGCTGTATGATGGAAAGCTGTCTGCCAGTATCGCCTTCACCTATAACCCTCGAGCCACTGACGCTCAGCTGTGTCTGGAGTCCTCTCCCAAGGACAATGCTTCCATCTTTGTGCACTCACCACACGCCCTCATGCTGCAGGTATGCTCTTCCTCTTTTTCTCTTCATCACACCTGGTTCACCATCCCAGCACAGCTGCCCTGCCAGGTGGACTGCTCTCTGTGGGCGAATGAAACTAGCTCATCACCATTCGTTAACACAATTAACAATATGAGCATTTTTGTCATCTCGCTCAGCAAAATACGACCCACACCTGTGCTGCATCCAGCACATCATGAGTTCTAAAAGCACTTAATCTAATCTGGTCCACAGTGTTATCAAGGGAGTCTATAAACTTTTTAACATTCATTTATTTATTAAATATACATTTTTGACTCCAGAGCTCAACAATAAAGACAGCCTGATGGCCCGTGCCAGTGTGAGAATGTTTTGGGCCAGTTGATAGAAGTGTTGGTTACACTTTATTTGAAGTTGTCTTTGTTACAGTGTAATTATACATTTACGTACGGAGTAATATTAATTAACTACATGTACTTACTATATGGTTAGGGTTAGGATTAGGGTTTGGCTTAGGGTTACTTGCATGTAAGTAATTGCATAAGTAATTGTTATTATAATAGTAAGTACATGTAACGTGTAACAAGGACACCTTAAAATAAAGTGTTACCGAAGTGTCTCTATGGCTTGCATATGTTAGCCTTGTTCCATGTGTTTCAATGCCTTGCAAGCATAAACTTTTGGTTTTGTGTGATACATTCAAATTCCTCTAATTTAAGTATGTCATCAAGATAAAGATATCTAACAGGATAACATAAATGAGGTTTTGTCGAAATTGCAAGAATGACTTCTGATACACGATGGTGTTTGAAGTTAAATATTTTATTCCCATTGCACAGTTGTTTAACAGCAAAATAGATTTTATTAATGTATTGCTAATTAAAACCTAAGAAATTATTATTATCATTACTTGAATTATTAATATTGTGTTGGCAAAAACATTTTTAACTGAAGAAGTGTTCTTGGCAAGCCCTGGACTTGATGGATTATAGGATATATTCTATAAAGTGACCTATAGGAACAATAATTTAGCTTGATTCTCAGATTATTATTATTATTATTTTCAGTTAATAAAGGCTTCTTCAGTTCTGATGGCATCTTCGCATGCTGAACAGATGAAGTAGTTCTATCTGACAATGATTTTATGGATGTGCCATCTGGGAGAGCGCTTGTCTGATTAGAGGCACCTAAGGACCTCACAGCTGTCTTTCTGTATTTAATCCCCCCCTCCCCCCCATGCATACAGAGCACAGGTTTAGGAAGTAACCTTCTCATTCAGGAATATCTGTTGCAGAACATTAAGAAGATGACAATACTATGAATTGTGTTGATCAGAGGGTCTCTGTGTTACACAACTTAATGACGTTATATGACATAAAATTACTAAAGAAACCTAACATCAAGCCTTTCTATGTCTCAGGACGTCAAAGCTGTGGTGACACACTCGGTTCAGAGTGCCATCCATTCTATAGGAGGAGTTCAGGTCCTTTTCCCCCTGTTTGCACAGCTGGATTTCCTACAGCACAGCGGCGACGAGCTGGACTCCTCCATCTGGTGAGAACACATCAACTCTGCCTGGGGGGGAAATTAAAATTAGGAAAGGGATTCTCAGTGGGGAAAAAAAAGATTGAGCTCCTCTCAGTTTTAGCCTGGCCAGGAAAAACTGAAAATTAAGTTCATGTTGTCTGTTCTAGAGTTGTTAAACCCAGCAGACACACTATAGCAGTTTTTTAAAGGAGATGTTTTCTCATGGTACACAAACCATTAATCTGTTTTTGGCTTAGGGTTTGTTCCTCTAGAGGTCAGTGCTTAGTGTTATTCAGTGTTAATTTGTGTGGACATAGCATTGACTAGGAGCCAGTACAAAGTTAAATATTTAACCATGATTGGCTGTAGTACTAACATGAGTGTTACCTGGAAAACAGATGTCTCAATCAAGAATTTTGCTAGTTTTTTTTCTTTTACATTATCAAAATGACCAGATTGATCAGTTGTATTGACGACAGTAGCAAGATCAGAAAATCACTTTTGGAGCAGCTATTTATAACAACAGTTACACTGCAATTAGTATTGCATAAATAATGCTGTGAGGCTAATGGGTTTTAAATGGGCATTAATGGGTTTTGAAAAAAAAAAAAAGAATATTGAAATATGAAATGCTCCAAGATACTCCAAATATGAAAATAAAACCTTCAGTAGTTGGCAGCAAGTCACTGTCTTACTGAGTTGAGTCATTCATTCAACCAATTCATTCAACGAATGTCTTTATGAACGAGTCACTGAATCATTGGCTCACTCGATTCATCCAAAACAACAGATTCATTCAGGAACGAAACTGATGTGTGTTTCTTGGAGACACACAACAGTTCCGCTGTGGCTTTGATTGGAACTATTTTCGTTGGTAAAATTGAGCAAAAACAGACAATACTGACGATATTGTGTCTAGAATGTAACGTATAGATATTGTGTAGATAATGGGGAAAAAAACAGCACTCTTGCTCGTGTTTTATTGCTGAACTGTATCATATGATATAAATATAAGACAAAAACCCATAAAGACGGTGCATCATCGTCCTGCATCATGTTAGTCAGCAACTGCATGCAGTGTAAGATGACATACAGGTCTGGGGCAGAGCATGTTAAATGTGTTAATAATTTTAATGCTTTATCGTTTTGCACCAAATTAGAGCAGTAAATCAACTGCACTAGTGAAAATTCATGACTGTTTTACATAGAACACAAAAGAGATATTTTGCAGAATGTTCAAGCTGCTTCCAAACAGAAGCCCCATAAAAGTTGAACATTTACTGAAATTTTTTTCCGCCTCATTTGAACTAATTCTAGATCAGGTCTATGTGTTATTATCATTGCGTTGTTAGTTATTTCTTTACCGAAGCTAACCTGTTGTTTGTTTTTTTTCCCCTCAGTTGCACACTACTGTCGTTTGTGATGGAGCTGTTGAAGGGCTCTGTAGCTATGCAAGAGCAGGTGCTGTCCTGCAAGGGCTTTCTTGTCATTGGTTACTCACTGGAGAAGGTAAGTACATGAATATGAACATGAATATTACTTTGTGCATTGAGTACGTGGAACATGTGCATCCAAAGACAGTTTAAATCCTGCTAATGCTGAAAGACAAGATAAGAAGAGAAAACTGTCGTCTTTAATGTTTGAAATAAGCTTATACTCTTAAAATGCATATAAGGGAGTTCTTTTTAATGGGGAAAACTCTTTTTATGCAAAATTCACTTTTACATAGTGTTTGATCATGAATGTGTGTTGGCAGTGTGTGTACACAACCACTCTATAATGATAAAAATCCACCCACTCCTTTTATTAATCCCCATAAATCATAAGCAGTGTCTCAAAACAAGCCACATGCCGTATTGAGCGTTGGATCTTGAGCGATGACTCAGCCAGCCCTATTATAGTTATCTTTGGTTGGCAGAAGACTTTGAGACGGTCTATCTGGCAATACGGGAGTAAGGATATCCCATAGTGAGAGACCGAAACGTGTGCTTGAAAGAGAACGATGGGTTACTCGTGTAACCCCGGTTCTCTGATAGCATTAAGTGAGGTGTCTCACCAGAACACCCTCCTTGCTGTGCGAAACTGTGCTTGTTTTGAATGTCGTAATGATGTTGCGTCGCTCCTTTTATAACAAGAGGAGGGAGCCACTCCTTGACATGTCTGCCAGCCAACTGGGGCTGGTGTAATGTAATTGGGCTTCTGAGGAATAAGTGGTAGGGGCATATCCCTTAGTGAAACACCTCACTTAATGCTATCAGAGAACCGGGTTATGCAAGTAACCTATCGTTTTGTTTTGGCAGAATATCCGAGATACGAGCTGTAAAGGCGCAGCCCTATTCTGGAAAGGAGGCAGGGAGCAGCAGCTCATTTGCATTTAAAGATACATGTGCAAAAACAGCATGTTTTTGCTTCCAATCAAAATGGGTATTTTCAAAACCGTATAATAAATGATCTTGAGCTGAAACTTCACAGACACATTCTGGGGACACCTGAGATTTATATTACATCATAATAGGTCCCCTTTGAAACATACTAGCATATGCCTGCAGAAGTTGCTGGGTAACACAGAAATAGAAAAAAGTGTAATGCTTGAGAATGCATAGTACCGTACCAAACTGGATGTCACATGATCATCTGTTTTGTAACCAAGAAAAACACTTTCAATACTCAAACCTTGTCCTTTGCCTTTAACTAAACCACCTGTTTCTGTTTATTTTGCAAGTCTTTCTCTTGCTCTACCTTTTTCTGTGCACACTCACTTTCATTTTTAACCAGTAATTTTTTTACTTTTACCTCGGCTTACAGTGAAATGTCCTTGATAGGGATGCACGATATATCGGCCACCATATCGGTATCGGCCAAAATTTTCATATCGGTGCATCCCTAGTCCTTGACACTTAAGATCTCATCTGGCCTCAAGTTGTCACATCAAGTCATTACACTTAATCTTAAAAAATAAAATAATATATGCAAGACTAAAATGGATTTAGTATGTGTCAAAAAAGGCCCTAAAATGTGGAAATGTTGAAAGCTGCTTTGAAAAAATGGTCCTATGCTGCACTTTTAAGACTAAAAAAGTGAAAGGATTCTCTCGTGATTGTTAGGGCAGTGAGTCCTCTGCACATTGGGAATCAGCCCAGGTGTTTTAAGAAACATTACAAACCTGAGATTGATCTCAAGGTTTGCTGTGACACAGCTTAAAGCAATCTGTTGATTCTTGGTAATTTTTTTGTGACCAAGTTTATTAACTGATTACATGTTTGTATCTTCTTCTCAGTCTTCCAAAGTACACGTGACACGACCTGTGCTGGACATTATCCTTGCCTTTGCCCGTTATCTTAGCAGCCTTCCTACTGGAGTTTTGCTCTTGAAACAGCTGTGTGACCATATCCTCTTCAACCCTACCATTTGGATTCATGCCCCAGCTAAGGTATCTTAAACATTTACTCAAACCGATGCTGTTGCATCATGCTAGCTTAATGGTTTACCAATTCTTTGTTCTCTCAAATGTGACTTTTCATGGGTGGTTTAAACTGATTTGCTGCCCCCAACAGGTACAGCTGGTTCTCTACACCTACCTGGCCACAGAATTCATCAGCACCGTCAACATCTACAACACCATCCGCAGAGTTGGAACTGTACTGCAGGTCATGCATACACTCAAGTATTTCTACTGGGTTGTAAACCCACTGGACCGCAGTGGAATCACACCCAAGGGTCTCGGTAAGAGAGCAGTCTGCTGCGAACTAAACCAACTTCTCAACACGTCTTGAGACTAAGGAATAAGGGTCAAAAAAGCTCCATGTGGAGCTACAGTGATGTCCAAAAATCTGAGAACCGTAATAAAACATCTTTTTTTCCCCCACATTTAGTACTGTTTATTTTTGTTGCAAATTATATTATTAGCATAATAGTTTGAATGGAAAGTTATTTTTTTCCCAAATTTGATTTTTTTGGCTGGTCTCAAACTTTTGGACCCTACTTTATACAGTATTAGTTTAAGCTCATAATCTTATAACTCATTTGGTGGTCTAGAGTCTTTGCTAGGATGTTGCAACTTTATGCATTTAATATTTCATTCTTTCAATCTTTAATCTATAAACGCCGTCATTGTAAATATATTTCCAGTATTTCCAGATAAAAAGGGCACTGCAGGTTTGCACTAAAGATGCTGTGGGAAATCATCCCGTCCCGCAATAATTAAGCAATTTGTCTTTCAGTGTGTTTTGTGTGTAATTTCCACAGTAGACTGCTTTATTGCTTGTCTCATTCAAATCTCATTAAATGAAATTAAGGTTACATTAAATGAGTGAAATATTCAGCAAGTTATAAAGAAAAATTATCTAAAATGGTTATTTCTAAACTGATTTTCCTTTAGGGCACAGAAAACAAAACTAAGCTAAGAACTAAAAAATATGTATTAGTATTATCACAAGCGTAGGCCCATGGAGTATTATTTACATGAGTGTTTTTGGTTGATATCTTGCATCAGATGGGCCGAGACCAAATCAGAAGGAGATTCTCTCTCTCCGAGCGTTCCTGCTGCTGTTTGTCAAGCAACTTATCATGAAGGTACACTAGTATGACCATAACATGCATACGATCTGAATAAATCAACTCATCATGAGAAGTGCAGTTCAGGTAATGCTTGTGTGTTGTGTGAATGTAGGATCATGGGGTAAAGGAAGACGAACTGCAGAGTATTCTGAACTACCTGCTCACAATGCATGAGGTACTGTAATGCACCAACAATACATCGCAGTCTTTTATACCAGTATCAGTTGTCTGACCGCTTTTAGTCATTTTACTGTAAATCAAGGTAAATAATTAATTCTGTCAAGTTTTTGTTAGACTGTATAGTCTGCAGTGTAACTGCCACAAGATGGCGCTTGGTCCCCACTGGTTTCTGTCTTGTGCATGAAAAAAAAGTTTACCATCATGCCACTTTCCACAAAATACAGAATTTTTCATATATATATATATATATTGTAATGATTTTAAAAACATAATGGGACATCAGTTTGTATTCTTTCTGAAGGAAGTGGCGCCATTTACTCCCTAATAATTTACATAGTTGCATATATGTGACCCTGGAGCACAAAAGTAGTTTTAAGTCGCTGGGGGATATTTGTAGCAATAGCCAAAAAAACATTGTATGGGTCAAAATTATAGATTTTTATTTCATGCCAAAAATCATTAGGATATTAAGTAAAGATCATGTTCCATGAAGATATTTTGTAAATTTCTTACCCAAAATATATCAAAACTTAATTTTTGATTAGTAATATGCATTGCTAAGAACTTCATTTGGACAACTTTAAAGGCGATTTTCTATCTATTTAGATGTTTTTGCACCCTCAGATTCCAGATTTTCAAATAGTTGTATCTCGGCCAAATATTGTCCGATCCTAACAAACCATACATCAATGGGACTCTTATTTATTCAGCTTTCAGATGATGTATAAATCTAAATTTAAAAAAATTGACCCTTATGACTGGTTTTGTGGTCCAGGGTCACATATATGTAATGAATTAATTCTAATTTTAGGTTAATGCAGACAATGCAGATCCCCTGCTTACCTCTACTTCTATAGTCATCAGAAGTTTAAATCCTAGAACCTTTATTTGCAGTTGCTTCTTGAATGACACCTGGCTCTAACATATCATGCTTATTTATTTTACTTTAAAAAAATATATATTTTTTACAGGATGATAATCTGATGGATGTTCTTCAGCTTCTGGTAGCACTGATGTCTGAGCACCCCAGCTCAATGGTTCAAGCCTTCGATCAGCGGAATGGAATACGGTGAGAGCTGTGGTTGCCCCTTGCAACTCGACAATCTTTAACCCACATCTTTATTAAAAACTATAAATAAACCTGGGAAAAAACTGACAGATGAATTTGAATGAATCTCTGTGGAATAATGGGAGGCCACGATACCTCATTCTTAGCAGAGACATCTGAGTCCTGCTCAACAAAACCTATAAAAACACTTTCATAGGTTCATCTGATACCTATGCTGCTCTCATATGGGCTACTAAAATGCAGGCATTTACATTTCCAAATCCTTTATAGACATACTAGTTCCACTGACAGCCACGGGGTTAAATGTGCACGCTAGCGGGGGGCATCTGGATAGCTCGTCATGATGAAACAGAGGGCCTCACTTTCATTTTAGATCTGACAAGCTCGTTCAAATCACGCTTCCATCAAATCCTACTCCAGAAGGATATAGGCAGATTTGTTTTAATATGTAGACATTATATTAGTCTCGGTTACATATGAATGTACACGTCAGCTCTTGTGCGTCACTGCGTCGCTGGTATTTTCTTTTGTCAGAAAGAAACACTGAAAGTGATTGAAAACAAAAATTCAACATCGTATTTAAGCCTGACCCTGATTGTACATTTGTTTTAAATATAGTAAATATGGTTGTTTTGAACTTCGTTTGTTGCAGTGTTTTTAGGTCAAAGACGTTAAGATGTCCGCATCAAAATAAATGTACAAAAGTGATTTTATGTCCATAGAAAGCACATTAAATGCAAGTGTCTACATTTAAGGTTTCAAATAGGTTTTTGAAGAATAAAATGTCAAAAGTTGGTTGAAATAATGTTCCATTGTCGTTCAGTGTAACACTTATAGTTGTGTAAAAATTCAAACAAAATGCTTATTCTGACCTGTACATATTAAAATATATAAAAGAATAAGTGAGCATATTAAATTTTATTGGGTTTTAAATGAGTAAAAAAATATTACTGACAAATGGGCGAAAGCTAGGATAGTGGCAAATTTAAAACTAATTAGTATTTGGGGTGAAAGTAATTCGTTTTTTAATATGTCATAAATTGATTTTTGTTGTAAATATGTCTGACAAGATTGTTACACTATGACATTTTAATGGGTGTCTTCTGTAAATCAGTGGAAAATGTATGATATTTATTTTTTGCTCTGAAAAACAAAAATACAATTACATGAAACAGAAAACTTTTAAAGTATTTTTTTGTTGTTGTTGGAAAAACAACAACAATTTAAAGCAGTATTGTTTTTATGCTTAAACCCTTTTTCGTCTTTGACCCATTTATTTTTATGGAAATGACATTTTATTAATAATATAAACAGTATGTAAGTTTTATAAATATGTACTTTTTTCATTTGTGTAAATTTTGCTTCAACATTTATTTATTTAGTATAATTTATTCCATTTGTTTCTCATAAAAATTTTATGTTGCACATGTTTTCTCTTCTGTGAATAACAGGGTCATCTTTAAGCTGCTTGCATCCAAAAGTGAAGGGATTCGTGTGCAGGCACTCAAAGTCTTGGGCTACTTTCTCAAATATTTGTCACCAAAGTGAGTTACTTATGTATTATTTGGAATTTAGGCTGTAATAATACTGTTAATCATATAACACGTTAACCTTGTTTTTAATATGTGATTCCTATGCACGATTCACTCTGTTTATTTTACTAAATGATTCAGTAGCGGATGGTCTAGCTATAAATATTTAGCAGAAATAAGCTCTCAGCATGCCATCAATGATTTTTTTTCCTGAAAATGAACAGTTTAAAATAAGTGACTAAATCTTTTCCCAGAGGGAATTCAGCTGGGTTATTTTGATATCAAATTACCCTCACTCCACTGTTAATTCATGCAGCATGGAAATATTTATGCGCTAATGCAGTCAAAGTCTGTAATCGTGTGCGAGTATTTTTCCAAATGCAGTTTCTGTGGTGTTTGATTGATAAAGCTCACTTTCATTTATAATCCCATTTGCTTGTGAATTTCCCCCAGAAGGATTCTGACCGCCAAGTGTTTTTTAAAATAGATGCAGCTTCATTCCGTGACTACGAAGAGATTTTTTCAGAAGCTCTGGGCTGCAGTTATGCCCTGTCGCGGTGAAGTAGATCATAGATCGTGTGTTTGGTGCTGATGTTTTGGATGCCATGTGTTTTAGGACAAAGTCAGAGTCCATGTTGGCTCACGGTCTGTTCTCTCTGCTGACTGAACGATTGATGCTTCACACGAACCAGTTCACAGTCACAACATACAACGTGCTCTTTGAGGTCAGTCTCCTACATTGATACCATGCTTTTAATGTCTGCTTATAGCACTTTGTTTTTGACTATAATATTGTGCAAACGTCAGCAAAATGTCACATTAGGTGAAAGTGCACGCTTTGGACATGCTGGTGCTTATGCCAGACAAGCAAATCTGGCCTGCTTCGTAAAGAGAGTTTCCCCTCTCTTTTGTGGTCTCTATCCATAAAACTCTCTATCTACTCTATCTCTATCTAAAACTCTATCTACTTTGATTTAGGTGGTTCGCTTTCTATCATGGATTATCTTTTTGTTTGTTTCTTTTAATTTATTTAATTTTTTTGTGCATGTTGTTTATATGTTTTATTTGCACAAATTCTATATTGGCGAATGTATTGCACCAAAAGATTATGCTGAAATCCTGATTAAAAAAGGTTTTTGCCAGTTGTCCCTGGATTATGATTGTTGTGAAATGTTTCAAAGTTCAGGTCATGCTATTTTTGTGTCTTTCATGATTGATCATTGCTAATCTGGATTTTGGTGCTGTGTGTCAGTGACTAACCAGAGCTGATATGTCATTTTCTCCAGATTCTTACGGAGCAGATCTGTACTCAGGTCATTCACAAACAGCACCCAGACCCTGACTCCACCGTGAAGATTCAAAACCCTCGTAAGTTATATGAAGCGCAGTCCCTTCGCCTGTGACATGATTAAATGGGCATATACACACTTCATTTAATAGCTGTTAATAGATATAAAAACATTTTTTTTAACTAATAATACTAATTTTAACTTAATATTTTTTTGTATTGAAATAAATCTAAAATAACTTCCTTTTTGATTATGTAATTCACATTTTTATTTTCTATTAAGTTTTTTTGTAACTTTACCTAATATTAACTGATGATTAACAGTGAATTCTTATTGCTAAAAGGCTGTAAGTGGAAACTTCACATTTATCTAGACTAAGTTCTTTTTGTGCTGCAGGTTTACCTGCCTTTCTCAGAGAAATCTCAAATTTAAAATGTTATGCCAGCGCATTTTATACCACCTCTCGTGTGTATGGAAAATGTCTTTACATGAGAGACGGCAAGATCACAAGCAAAACCTGCCTCCTATTGTAAAATAGTGGTCGACCGATATTTTTTTTTGACAGCCGATGCCGATGCCAATATCTTGGAAAGCAGGGTAGCTTATATAAAGCCAATATAATTTTTTTTTTACATTTTAATTAATATTTAAGAAATTTGAAATCATTTGACAATGGATTAAAAAATAAATATGTAAAAAGAAACATACTTATACTTTAGATGACAAAGTATTTTTCACAAATAAATAAATATTTAATAAAAATATAATTAAAAAAAGAAGTAAACACTGTAACCAACAGGGCATTCAGTATTCTGGGAAGTTTGTGTGCATTGGGAATCATATTTTTTCAAATAAAGCCAAGGTAACACTCATTTTACGTAGAGCACACGGTGAAAATGACATATTATTGATTATAATAGTGTTAAGCCAGCCTAATTTAATATTGCTGTGGCTGCAGCGGTGCAAATCAAACAGCCACCGGTATTTTCTTGCGTCTAATGGTGAAGTATACAGTTACCTCAGACGAATGAAGCTCATTTGATGGTCACGATTACTCAGATGATAAACACATTAAAAAGTAATGAACTTCCCACTGTAGCACTGAGGTTTTTTTTTTTTTTTTTTTTTGCAGCATCGGTTTCTGAATATTAGATGGCTGAATCGTCTCTTATAACAAGATGCCTTTCTTTCCAGCCTCAGTTTATGCTCAATTTTGCATGTGTCTCCTTTAAATCCAGTACAGGATTTGGCAGCAATCAGATACTCTGGTTTTAATGTAAAAAGTGAAACTAATATTGTATACCGATCCATATCGGACCTTTCCCTAATGAAGCTTAATTCTGAGGTACTGCAGGCAGCTGATTAGAGCGGTATTTACATGGAGATGTGACCATGTACACAAACCACTTGCCAGTCAGAAGAATGACAGTGAATCACAGATCCTGGATCGGTTCTAGAGCGTTCTCATATATGATCAGAGAGTGAGCACAGCAGAGTTTCAGCTTTCTTCTGTGTCTCCTTGATTTGATCTGTGTTGAAGCCTCTAAATGGCTCTGATTGCAGTCTTTAGCCATGTCAGACCCAATCAAACAAACTGAGGAAGCAAAAGTTTCTTTTAAATTAAACTCCGGGACAAACCAGGACCAAATGGTGATTGGAGAGCGAAAAAAACAGAAAAGTGCAGAGATACATGCAAAGGTAATTTTCTACTGGTAAGGTTCAGTGACTCTAATTTGAATGAGTAAGGCGTAGAAACAACACAATTCTGCTGGAATGAGTGCGAGCATTGGTTACAGATGCTGTCGTGCTCTAAACTCTCTGTAACGGCTGAAACTTGAGCTGCTCTTCTCAACGTAATGCATGCTGACATTGTCTAGATAATTCATCTAAACAACCAATCTTTCCAGTTTAAGCTAACGCTATGTTCCAGGAAGCCACGACTGTAGCTGCAGAGTTTAGACAATACTGACCTTATGATGTGGAGTACATTTTTACTCCCTCCACATTATATGCAAGTTATTTCCTCACTATAGGCAAGTGTTGGGGGAAAAAATTAAATGTATCAGTTTTATTAGAAAGGTGCAATTTTCTTTCTCCTTGCTGTTTCATAAATGATTTTGAAATATATACATTTACACTACTATTCAAAGTTTGGGGCTGGTTAGAATTTATTTGTTTAGTTTTGAAGGTCTCTTATGCTCACCAAGGTTTCATTTATTTGATGAAAAATACAGTAAAAACAAATTAAGATAACTTTATAAATGTTTAAAAAATAATTAATCGCAAAGCTGAATTTTCAGCATCATTACTCCAGTCTTCAGTGTCACATGAACTTATGATGCTGATTTTGGTGGTCAAGAAACATAAAGATGATCACTGGTAAACTGAAGCGCTCTTTTAACTTTACCAAACGCATTCTATATGAGATACATCAGATATACATCAAATAAACACAATATTACAATGTACAATTGCACAAAAGGCTGCAAACGAACAGCGCGCATCTGAAGTGTCTCTGAAGGAAATAATGCATTATTTATCGGCTTTAAGATATCGGCCAAATTTTCTTATCAGGCCGATACCGATAACAGAAAAAATGAGCCGATATGGGCCGATACCGATATGGTGGCCGATATATCGTGCATCCCTATTTGTTTCATTGTTATCAATATTGAAATACTTAATATATTTGTGAAAATCACGATGCAAATTGTTCAGGATTCTTTGATGAATAGAAAGTTCTATTTATAGAAACAGAAACATTTGTAGCATAATAAATGTCTTCAGTTTTCAAAATGTCTGCATTCTTGCTAAATAAATGTAATAATAATAATACAAAATCTTACTGACCCCAAACCTGGTAATGTACATTTTATTAATTTTATTTTAAAATATGCTATAACTGTTTGTGCATCTGTTGAACAAATAATGTTTGGATATGTTGTTTACTAAAAAAAATCTTTATCCTATACTATAGTGTATAAAAAGATAAACTTGAGTGACGACTGTCGTTTTAATGCATCATAAGCTTTTTAAATACGAAGCAGTCAGATACTGTGTGAAGCGGTGCTGGTCATTCATGGGCGTTAAACGCAGATATTTTGTTCCATCAGAGATCCTAAAAGTGATAGCTGCTCTCTTAAAGAACGCTTCTCCAGGAACAGAAACCATGGAAGCACGGCGTATCTTCCTCTCAGACATGATCAAACTCTTCAACAACAGCCGGGAGAACCGCAGGTGAGGACACACACACACACACACACACACACACACACACACACGCACACACACACACAACATCCTTATAAGTGCAACATAAATGTCATCGTATTTCATGTTTAGTAGTCCGCGCTCCACCACTGTGAAGGTGTAAACTGTTTTCTTTTCACTGAGTGTGTGTTTATGAGTTTTCTGTGAGGTGTAAATTAAAGACTGAGCGGAGGAGAATCCACCGCTAATTTTGCAGCAGCTTGAGAGATAAAAAGCTATCCAGTACTACCAGTTCAAGTTTTAAAATAATATTGACTACGGGAGCTTTTATTTTCATTTTAATTCGTTTTAAACAGCAACATTTTTTCAGTAAGAGTTGCATTGTTGAATGCACTTTAAACATGATTTGATTGCATTTGTTTTATTTTCAGACCTTTAGGGGCGGAGCAACAGTTTTAACCGACTGGGGTGGGGCTCGTAATTAGATGTCAACAAATTCATATACTTACTACAGGCCTATACTGTGGCTTGATTTATTACGCAGAACGTCAGAAACTTTCAAAACTAGATTATATTTTATTCTTATTATTCTTGCACATAAACTGAGCTGAGATTATTTGATCGGTGGGTGCACACACACACACACACACACACACACACACACACACACACACACACACACACACACACACACACACAGACAGTCCAGTGCGAGATCTTCATCATGCTCGTCATCAGTAGTATTTTCTCTGAAATGAGTACTGTTCTTTTACAAACTTGCTCTTTTCTGTAGGAGTCTGTTGCAATGCTCGGTGTGGCAGGAGTGGATGCTGTCTCTGTGCTTTATAAACCCCAAGAACAGCGAGGAGCAGAAGATCACAGAGATGGTGTACGCCATCTTTCGTATCCTCCTTTATCACGCCATTAAGTATGAGTGGGGCGGCTGGCGCGTGTGGGTGGACACACTCTCCATCACGCACTCCAAGGTCAGGACCCAAACGCACACACAAAACAACACACGGATGGATGGATGTAGTAAATGTATATGTTACTTGTAGTCATGAATTTACATGAATTTACAAAACTTGGTGCATACAACACAGTAAAGGATATATGCCTGTAAAATATTTAAAATGTAAATTATTATTACTGTTATTATTATTATTATTATTATTATTATTATTTTAACCAAACAGCAGCTAATAGTAACAAATGAACATGCATATATGTGACCCTAGACCATAAAACCAGTCATAAGGGTCAATATTAAAAAAAACAACAACAATGAAAGCTGAATAAATAAACTTTCCATTGATGTATGGTTTGTTAGGATAAGACAATATTTGGCCGAGATACAACTATTTGAAAATCTGGAATCTGAGGGTGCAAAAAAATCTAAATATTGAGAAAATCATCTTTAAAGTTGTCCAAATGAAGTTCCTAGCAATGCATATTACTAATCAAAAATTAAGTTTTAATATATTTACTGTAGGAAATTTACAAAATATCTTCATGGAACATAATACTTAATATCCTATATTATTTTGGCATAAAAGAAAAATCAACAATTTTGACCCATACAATGTATTTTTGGCTATTGCTACAAATATACCCCAGCGACTTAACACTGCTTTTGTGCTGCAGGGTCACATATTTGTTTTTCAAATTTCATATGCACTACTTTTTAAAAAATGTTTTTGTAGGAAGTCTCTTATGCTCTCACCCAGGCTGTTTATTTAATAAACTAAAATACAGGAAAAAAGTAATATTGTGAAGTATTTATAAAAATTTTATAGAACTGTTTTCTATTTTAATATATTTTAAAATGTAATTTATTCCTACGATGGCAAAGCTGATTTTTAGCAGCCATTACACCGTTACATTTCAGAAATCATTCTGATATTTGGTGCTCTAATATTTGGTGTTCTTGTAACATTTCTTATTAGTATCAATGTGGAAATCAGTTATTCTGCTTAATATTTTTGTGGAAACCGTGCTACATTTTTTCCCCAGGATTCATTGATGAGTAGAAAAAAACAGCATTTATTTGAAATAGATTTTTTTTGTAACAAAAGTAAAAGTCTTTGCTGTGTAGTTTGATCAGTTTAAAGCATCTTTATGGAATAGTACTATTAATTACTTTCATTAAAAAGCTTGCTGACTGCAAACTTTTAAATAGTGTATAAATTTGAACAAATAGCATGCTATATAATATAACGAAAATATTTTAATATAAAAGTAGATATTATAGTGTTGGTTGCTTGTTGCTAGTGTAGGTTTCATAAGACATATGTGCTGACATTAAATAGGAACAAAATATGACTTTGCCTCCTTGTGTCAAAAGTCATGCCACTGATGTAAACCTATTATTTTTCTCTCTGTAGTGTCTCCGTCCATCACTATATTTCTCTTCCTTTCTTTAACACTGACTGCACTCTTTTAGTTGGTTTTCCCTCCTGTGCTCAGCCTCTCTGCGTCAGCTGTAATCCACTGGATTCTCACTGCAGAAACTTGACTGTTATTACGCTCCATAATCAACTAGACTTCTCAGATTAGAATCTGTATTTCCCTCCACTGCCAAACCTTCTGTTCATACTTTTATTTACAGATTAAATTGCCTCTTTAATGTATTTGAGAGCTCTCAGTTTTCTGAGCTTTCTAGCTTCAGAAATGTCTATTTTAAAATGCTCTATTGATATTGTGATATGGACATGGTTCCAAGAGTAGTGAAGTCATTTGGTGTCAGACTCTGGCTCTCCTGGCATTGCTCCACTCTGCTTGAGTTCTTGTCACTGGCCACTTGGGGGCGCAGCTGTGCTATGCAGTGAGATGTGTAGAAACGGGGATATGTGTAGTGCTCAGTGTGCTCATTCATCAGCATATGCAGCCTGAGATTGACTTCAAGTGGGTTATTTCTGCTACTAGTGTCACCAAATGGAATTGTATAAATAATGATTGTTTTCAAACAGGTTTCCCATTGGTTGGACTAACAGCTTCCACAGACCTATGCCATTGACTAAGCCAATGTTGCTACTGTATGTCAAGCTGGTCAGGATGCTCAAATAAACGTCTTGATAGCACTACAGTGATTAAGGGGATTTTCAGGAAAATCAATATAAATTATACAAAATAAATCATTACTCAGAGATGGCCAAACCAGGGCCCGTGAGTCAAAATAGATTTGTGGCGACCTTTGATTTGGGCCTGGCCATGTAATTTCTCGTAATAAGTGAGAATATTGAAAATATAAGTGAATTTTATTTCAAAATATATACATTTTTATATAATATAGTTGGATGCTATGCAACATTTACTCTCAGTCTGTGACCCATAATCAAGTTTGAATTTTGGCCCTTCATAGTAAAAAGTTTTGCCATATCTGCTACAAATGGTTTACTGACAGTCTCTATGTCTCTGCATATTAATCTCATAATTGAGATTTTTTTTACAAAGACAACTTACACACTTCAACTTTAAATATGAGAAAGAAACACACACACACACGAAAACGTATTATATAGTGTGACTTATACTTTCATAAAGAATGTGTATTGTGCAAACGGGTTGCATTGTAATTAGTCTTAAATTGCTCATAATTGATTTGGTAATATATTTAGCATTTTACCACTCATGTATTTGTAATTCATTCGTGTGTGTGTGTGTGTGTGTGCGTGTGCGTGTGTGTGTGTGTGTGGAATAGAAAGTGAGTGTAGTGTACATAGAGAGTGTATGTTTTGTACAGTATATGTGAATGCTATATGTGGTTTTTAGGTTGTAGTATACAAGGTCTCCAGATCCCCATTTTTGAACACATTTAATATTAATCTAAAATGGCCTTGGCAATCATTAGAACAAGTCCTCATAAATTCAACCAGCCTTTTGGGAACCCCCTGGTAAATAAATACATGCTCTTGGGCAGACATACATTTAGACAAGCATGCAAAGCTTTTTTTTCACTATTCAGTAGTTTTTCCAGCTCACTGTAGAACGCTGTCTGTCAAAATATTGAGTAAATTGATTATTATAATATAAGTATGAAATATTTCTTAAATACATAATTTTGTATTGAGTTCATTACTAGAGGTCGACCGATGTATCGGTTTTGCCGATTAATCGGCACCGATAGTTGATTGCTGGAACTATCGGTTATCGTCAAAAATCCATGCCGATAGTTTTCCGGGTTGTGTCCATTGCTGGAGCGGCTGAGAAGGCTCTGCTGTCATTACACAGTGCGAGAGTGGCCTCTAGTGGTTGAAATCACTGACAGCACGTGCTATTTGTTTAGACACGTGATACTGAATGCTGAACAGAGCAGGAATTGAAGTAAACTTGTGTCTGTTTGGTGATTAAATAAACTGTTTTAGACCGCTGCTCGAGTTAAACGCGACGAGTCAGGGGTGTTTGTGATACCGGTGAGTTCTCCTAGACTCAGCGCTGCGCTTTTATTTTGATTAGATAATCATCAAGTGTTCAAGAATAGAAGCAGTTCAAGTCTGAGAGTATACATACAATATCCATATATATATATAATTTTGATGCTATAGCCTTTGTGTATATATTTAAAGATGTGCATCTTCAAGCATGACTGTTGAAATGAAATGGTAACACTTTAAAATAAGAGTCCATTTGTAGCATTAAGATTAATGAAAGCTGTGTAAGTATTGTTCCTTGTTAGAGTGTGTTAATGTCAACATTTACTATTACTATTATTATAATTTTTTTTACTACTACTACTAGTATGGTTCAATACTGTTTTTGTTAATAAAGCACTATTTTAGTTTTTGTTCAGTATCAATTTTAAAACAATCGGTTAATTAATCGGTATTGGCCAGTGTGGTCCAACCTAGCTATCGGTATCGGCAAAATCCACTATCAGTCGACCTCTATTCATTACTATGATTGCAGTTCATTACTCAATATGTGTGTGTGCATATATATGTATGTTTTATTTTATGTGTCTCAGTATTTTTAAATCTATGGAATCTGACGAAAATCTATATAACAACAATATACGATTTTAATTTGAGCAAGTGTGCCGTTATCTGATTGTTGCTTGATTGTGTTTTACTGGGCATGTGTGTGTCAAAGGAGATGAAGTCTCCTTTCCAGCCAGCTCATTGCAGGCAGACAGATGTTTCTGCAGATGGGCCTGCTGACTCCACAGCTTACCCAAGGTGCCCCTGTCCCAGCACTGCGCATAAATGAGACCGGCTCCACACAGTTACTGTAGGGACAGTTTTCTGCTGGAAGTGATCACCTTGTGAAAGACTTGGTGCCCTTCATGCTTTCCTAGTCAGCACTCTTCTGTTCCACTGTAAGGAACATCTTAATGGGTGAAGGAGATGTTGTAATGGTCCTGCAAAAGTGTCTGCTTTCCTGGAGCCATTAGTTTAATTCTAGAATACTCTATAGAGAATTCTGTGATCTCCTCTGGGGCATCACGCTATGCTTTTGTGTTCTCCAAGGGAAGGAGAAAGTCTTCTGAAGCAAAGTCATAAGCGTTTAAGAGATTGCATTTATTTCTTGAATTTTTAGAGCACAACACATTGTTTCAGCATCTCCAGTGCTTGTTCATGAAACCCCTTATGACTGTGAACACAAAGCAGTAACCCTTAAAACATATTGCATTTTAAAATAAATTATGAAATTAATATTTATACCTTTCTACCTTGCTAGAAAATAAGGTTACACTTTATTTTAAGGTGTCCTTGTTACAGTGTAATTATACAAGATAAGTACTGAGTAATATTAATTAACGAAATGTACTTACTTTATGGTTAGGGTTAGGCTTAGGGTTACTTGCATGTAATTATGCATAATTAATTGTTATTATAATATTAAGTACATGTAACATGTGTAACAAGGACACTTTAAAATAAAGTGTTACCGAAAATAATTGGGAATAAATGAACAAAATAAAAATTAGGAATCATATGATAACTTGAAGGGAGCATTTTGTTATGAACTTGACCTATACTGTATGCCACTATTAATATCCCTTCCCCATTTTTGGCCTCTAGAAAGTAGAGACTTGTATTTTATAGGAAGAGCGCGTATCCTACTTCTTATACCAAGCATCTCGAGCAATATGACAAGCCAATGTTCATAAAATTAATTTAGTTAATTTAATTAATTAACTGCTTTGAATGCATGAGTTAGAGGGTAATAGAGCTTGAATAATATAATATGAAAGTTCTGTTAGGACATATAAAAATAGTGTTGTCTTAAACATCTTGTTGACCAACAAGAAACAGGTTTAAAAACAAAGATGCTTGACCGTAGTGTGATTCTGGGCCTAATGGAGATGTTTGAAGGAATGAGCTGCCCGTCTAAGAACGTCGAGCCTATTCTGTGGTATCATGAAGCTGCTTATCATGCTTGACAACAGCAATACTATGGATTTCGAAGATAATGGGATCCAGTATTTGAACATTACATTGCAGCCAGTCTGTATTGAAGAAACTCATAGGCCGGCACACAAACTGGCTTTAGAACATGGATAACATTGACTGTTTAAAGACATTGACATTGATAAACCATTCACTTTCTTGACATTCATTTTGCAAGCTTATCATACCGTCACAAAAGCAAAGTTTAAAGAATTTTCTGAGTGTTTTATGACCAACCTTTTTTTTTATTTAGCTGTCTTACATACATTTTTAAGATGATGATCTCTTTCATCTTAGTATTATTGTATAGTAACTTTGTTATAGTTCCATTTTTTTTTCATTTTAAGAATAAACCTAGTGAGTGGGAAAGTATAAAAAAAGTCTCTGTGGATCAAGACGAAATGCACCACTTTTATTCAAAACATAGTACAGATATTTTTTACCTTCTGCTTGCCTGTCTTTCCTGAGTCTCTCTCTGTGTACCTTTATGCCACACTCATGCAAACAGCTGTGAGAGTATCGAAGGAGGAAAAAAGAAAACTAACAGTGTCTTTTGGACAGAAGAGAAGGGTTTTAGTCTGCTGACCACATTGATTTTTGCAGGAATGGAATCGCATTTAGCTAATCCAATTAGAGCTTTCGCAGGGTCCCTATTTCTCCTTTGCTTTGCGGTTACTCACTATCTATTGATCTAAATCGGGCTCCCTACCGGCTCTACTGTGAGTGTCTGTGGTCGACTGCTCCCTGCTGATCTAAGATCAGCGATTTAAGCATTGTTTCTGTCTGTTGCTGAGCTTGCAGTCTGATTGCTGCAAGTTCTGCTGGATCATCAGTCTGATGCTCGATGAATCTTCCTTTGAATTAGGGATTATTTTAGTTAAATTCTCATATGTGACCCTGGACCACAAAACCAGTCTTAAGTGTAAATGTTTTAAAATTGAGATTTATACAGCTGAATAAATAAGCTTTCCATTGATGTATGGTTTGTTAGGATAGGACAATATTTGGTTACAACTATTTGAATATCTGGAATTTGAGGTTGCCAAAAAAAAATTAAAATCACCTTTAAAATTATCCAAATGATCAAAAAGTCCTTAGCAATGCATATTACTAATAACAAATTAAGTTTTGATATATTTACGGTAGGAAATTTACAAAATATCTTCATGGAACATGATCTTTACTAGTGGTCGACCAATATATCGGCCAATATTTTACATTTTTCATTCTCATATGTGACCCTGGACCACAAAACCAGTCTTAAGTGTAAATGTTTCAAAATTGAGATTTATACAGCTGAATAAATAAGCTTTCCATTGATGTATGGTTTGTTAGGATAGGACAATATTTGGTTACAACTATTTGAATATCTGGAATTTGAGGTTGCCAAAAAAAAAATAAATCACCTTTAAAATTATCCAAATGATCAAAAAGTCCTTAGCAATGCATATCACTAATAACAAATTAAGTTTTTATATATTTACGGTAGGAAATTTACAAAATATCTTCATGGA